ACTAAACTCACTAAACTTTGTTTCCACAGACGATGACGTGGAGTACGACGACGACTTTAACAGGTGAGACCGATGAGATGCGTCGTCGTCTTTTTTATGTATTTTAGTCGACATTTAGTGACTTTCTGAAGCTCAGGTTGGAGTTTTCTTTCCACCAACAGTTTGATCAACGACGAGGTCTAACAAACATGGTGGATGCTTTTCTTTCCTATTTTTTATTATTATTTTTATTTTCTTACCATTTCTAAACCTGGTTTATTTACTGGTTCCGGTCTTCCTTTCACACTGCTGCTGTCAGTCAGTCAGTCAGCAGAACAGAGTAAAACTAACAGCTGGATGTGTCTTGATGTGTTCACAGCATGCAAATGAAACCACACTTATAGCATTGTTCTCGTTTGTTTGAGCCCGACCTGTTTCTCATTTCCTCAATCATGGAAACAAAGCAACACGTGCTGATGAGTTTGTAGGTGATTTGTTCAAACAGCAAGTATCCCCACATGGAGATCCCTAACGCAAAACGATCATTCCAGGAGGCCAGTTTCTGTCCTGTGGGGCTTTTTACACTGTTTTGTGTGACACCTTGTTTTCCTGAATCTCTACAGCATGGAGAGTGCAAAGTTGCCCCGACACATAGAGATACTACAGACACGTTATTGGGATCTGCAGTCAGATCCCCGTAAATCCAGAGATCTGCGCTGCTGCTGCTGCCGGTCAAAGACTTCACGTTACCTCTGAAGAGCTGCAGCTAGTGATCATTCTAATGGTCTAAAATGTGTGAACACAGCAGACGACGTGCAGAATCATTTTAACTGTGTTCGCCTTCCGTTTGTGTGTTCAGTCATCGGTCAGACCTCTCCAAGAGCGAGCTGAGTATCGGCGAAGAGATCGAGGAAGTTTCCATTGAGGGTCCTGACAACAGCGACAAGGTGATCAGACTTCCAGCTCCAGTCTCTCCTGCTGCCTTCAGTCCTGTTTTCTGAATGAAACCAACCGTCTTGTTGTTTGTTCTGTTGTGCAGTTCGATGAAACCACTCAGGACCTGAGCGTCTCTCAGCTCAGTCAGAGTCAAGGCGCCGACTACATGGAGGAGGTGGCCTGACCTTCCATCTTACTACACTCTTGGCTTTCCCATCATGCACCTCTTTGTATTTTAATATTTAAGTCTGTACAGTTTCACCGAATCAATAAATGGATTTCTTGTATTCCGTGCTTAATCTAGGTTAATGTCTGAAAGTTTGTTTTTCTTGTTGAAGGAAACTGAAAGTGCGTTCGGCTCTGAGTCAGGAGAAGTTGATAGAGCAGCAACAGGGAGGTGAAGCCCACAGCGGTAAACCAGAGGTAGAACTCAAGTTCTGGTTGTTGACTGTTGAACAACGTCAGCTCAGCTCTGGCTTTCTCATGCTGCTTACAATAATGTGTGTTTGACCGACTCTGCAACTTCTAAAACCAACGATCCCACATTTACACACTCGGCTTAATGTTTGCTCAGCTGTGTGGAGGTAAAAAAGAAAGCTTGTTTCGATAGCAAACCCCACAACAAGTTTTACCGAGAAAGCTGGCTTTGACTTCAAGTGCTCAGATCAGCCATTAATGCCTTTTTAGTGGGACAGGCAGGACTCCAGAGGGGTCAGAGGGCTCCTGGTGTAGTTAAAAGCCCACTGCATTGTCCAGAAATGTGAAACAAGATGCCCACGGAGATGGCAAAAGTACTCACATGCTTTACTGAGGTAGAAGTAGAGATACTGGTAGAAGTACTGACTCAACTCCTTTGCTCAAGTAAAAGTAAAAAAGTACAGGTTCATAAATTTACTTAAGTACAAAAGTAGAAATGAATCTTTAGCTTTGATGATACGCGATGACTCTTTTGATAACTCTGCAAAATGAAAAAAGTTTGAAGCACACAAAATAGGATTGTTTTCATACTTTAAGAAACTGCACAGTGCTGCTACAGAGAAACACATCACTGGACAGTTTTCCATTTCAGCAACATGATGAACATTAAACATTATGATCAACATGGAAACACTCGTCTCTTCAAGACTACCAACATCTTTTATTGAGCCTCAGCAGGAGCTGGTTCTCAAAGTTCTCTGGATGAAGACGGGCCCTTTTGGGTCTGAACATCAGTCCTGCAGTGCTTGAAAGCCTCTGGCAGGCAGCTGAGGCAGGCAGGGCTGTGCTGAGCTTCACTGCTGGGAAAGATAAAGACGTTTGTTGTTACGTCTTTGACGTCATGTCGTCATCTGCGGAGGTTGAAACAAGAAAGGAGCCAGTTTTGAGAATGTAAGGAGTAGAAAGTCCAGATATTTGTGTTCAAATGTAGGAAGTAGAAGTAAAAAGTCATCAGAAAAATGAATACTCAAGTGAAGTACAGATGCCTGCAGAATCTACTGAAGTACAGTGACCAAGTATTTGTACTTTGTTACTTCCCACCTCAGGGTGCCCGTAATGTTGTGATCCAATCTCTGCTTGTGTTCCCGAACAAACCGCCCATCGAGGCTGACCTCAGCGCTCTTTCTGTCAACACGGAGTCACCTGGTACCAGAACATTACGTATCATGTTGCTTTTAAATGATTTTTCTTTTTGCTGTTATTTATCAGAGCAGTGGAGAGAGACAGGACAGGAGGGAGAAGAGTGGGAAAGACCTGCAGCAAAGGGCCGTGGTCGGGAGTCGAACCCACGACCGCTGAATCGGCGACTGTAGCCACTGTTGGTGAGTCGCCGTCTGATCCGGCTGAGCTACTGGGGCGCCCGCGATCATGTCACTTTTAAAATAATTGTCATAACACAGAATATGAACACAGCAGAAAGCTTGCAAGGCATATGGCTTTACTTTTAGAGAAAGGAGTTGTACCGCGTGCAGCAGTATTGATCAGGACAAAGCAAACGGTGACAGTGCAGCTCCTCGATTTCACTTTGAAACCTTGTTTTCTGCAGTCAGTTCACTGCAGGAGGAAACTGAAGCTCTAAATCAGTCAAACTCTCCTGGAGCTGCACACAAACACACAATCAAGAAAAGTGTGTCATTTTACCACAACGGGCTTTTGTGGCCTTTTCGCTGAGAATAAATATTCATAAATTTACATTGTACAGAAAGACCTGTTTCTCCATAACACATAGAAATAGTTCTGTTGTTGTAAATAACAGTGAGTAGACTGCAGAGCGTTAAACGTGTGATGACCTTTGGAAGAGTTTAATCCGTTTACAGTCACCTCAAACTGCCAAACACTGAGTTAAAAGGAGAAAATTCTGCCTTTTCTGTTTGAAAAAAAAAAAAAACAAACACGTTGAGGTTAAAGCTGAGACTAAAAGTCAAAATACGTCACGGCAGATGAACTTCTGCTGTGAGAGAGAAATACAGACTGAACAGTAACAAAAGAGGAAGACTTGAAACAGGGGTTTCAGAAGTTGAAGCAGCAGCTCCACCTCACCATCACCTGTGAGAGCGACCAGGAAACAGCAGCACCGTCAGCCCTGCTAACATGTGAGATTTTATTTCTATTTCTATGTCTTTTTTTGTTTATTTTTTTTGCTTATTTGGTTAAATGCTGACTCTTGCAGAAAAAAACCCTCCATTGCAACACTTCTTATTTTTCTCTCTTTCACTTTTCTTTTTCAGAAGCAATGTTTGTTTCTGTCTTCTTAACTTTTTGTTTCTTAAATGTTCTGTTCTAATGCAGTGGAAGAATGTTCAGGTTCCTGCGCGTTTATTTGCACATCTGTAAACTTGGAACTAGTTCGTATCTCCTTCGGTTTACATTGTTTTCTTTGAAAACGTAATGTGAGAACATGAAACATCTGAAATAGTGTCAGATGATGTCATGTGTCAGATTTATCAGATAACATCTGGCGCCCTACTTCTGTCTCATTTTATCTTGAAAACCTCTTTGTACAGACGCGACAGGCACGTTTCCTTTAGCTGTTCAGATTTTGGGTTTTCTTTGAAGCATGTAAGCTTCCATCGACACATGTCAGAGGTTAATATGACTGCAACCAAACTTAGAACTAAAAACTGACAGATGATGACTTCTGCTGTGCAAATGTGCACAAAAGGAATGAAAGAACGAGAATAAAAAATGATAGCAGTAATTCATGTGAGTCCCACATGTTTACCTGCTGCGTCGGCGGTTTTAGTTCATTTCAGAATCTGATATTTCAAGGCTGAATTAACGGCAGGCAGCAGTGGAGGAGAGGAGGTTGTGACTCGGTTTTCTATTCACTTAAGAAGAGGCTGTTATACAAAAAAGTCAGTTCAGAAATAATGTTTTTATGGTTTAGAGTTTTAACTCACAAGCCTGACTGTAATCCTGGTTTAGACAGAACTGCAATTTGATTGAAAGTGGTTTTAAACGACACTAAAACCTGCAGTCTGAGGCTCAGTTGTAAAACACTGTGCTCTAAAACTGCTGCTTTAAAACCTGAACTCTAAAACCCACGCTGTAAAGTTGCTGCTCCGAAACACACTCTCTAAAGCCTAAATTCTAAAACCTGATCTTTAAACCTGATCCCTAAAGCCTGATCTTTTAATCCTGATCTCTAAAACCTGATCTCTAAAACCTGATCTCTTAAACCTGATCTCTAAAACTTGAATTCTAAAACCCGTGCTATAAAACCTTGCCTCTGAACCCTGGGTTCTAAAACCTGATCGTTGAAACCTGCGCCTTAACACTCACCATTTAAAGCCTAAGCTCTAAAATCTAAAACATGAGATTTAAAGTCTCAAGAGCCGAAACGCTGAAACACGACATGTGAAACCTGAAATCAAAATCCCGAACCCTAAAGCTGCGCTCTAAAAACTGATTTGTGAGGTGTTGTGACAAAATGTGCTTCAGACATTCATGAAAGTCAAAGTGAGAAACAGTCATTTATGAATTGAACTCCAACAACTGTGTGGAGGTTGTGAAGTGCGTCACTGATAAATATCTGAGGGAGTATTGTGGGTTTTACACACAGTATAATGAGAAAGTATTTTTTACAGGCAATTATCGTAAATAAATCCAGATTCTTCCTGTCTTTTTCATTTTACGATAATATATCTGTGAAATACAGTAAAATAACATTTTCTTTTTACCAATCTGCTGTAAAAGTACAGTTAGAGAATTTTAACTTCACATTACAAGAATCCATCGTTCTATAACCAGATTATAGGAGTTTAGAACAGAGCAGATCGTTGTTGGACAAAGCTGGATTTCTGTGAATATACTGAAAAGTCACACGATTTTTTCCCTTCAGGTTGAATTGTGATCGACTTTTTAACGCCACCATCGTATCAACACATAGCTGCGTCCTCAGAGTCGGTTTATTAAGAACCTCCAGACTGATCAACAGCTTCATTCCACCAGCTGTCAGAACGCTGAGCTGCTGCTCCAGACATGCAAACACTTGTTTATTTAAATTGCTTTAAGTTGTTGGATCTCTCATCTTTCCTGTACCACTAAGTCTGTACAGCAACATGACAAGAAACTTGATTTGATTATTAGCAGCTGCAGAGCTAATGACATTCCCATCAGCCTCAAATGGACGCTAGCGTTAGCATGCTAACAGTTTAAACCGACAGAGTGAACATCACGTTGGCCGAACGTGAACGTGACCGGTGCGGATGTTTGTCTGCACCTAAAAACTGATCTTTAAGAACAAATTTATTGGTTTTTCAACAAAGGACGGTTCCTCAAACACCACATGTTCCTTTATTGTACTTCTGCTCGCTGGACACGGCGTCCGACTGGACGGCAGCTGTTTGTCCCTCCAGACTTCCCTTATTTCAAATGTCACCTGCAGTGAAGCAAAACGTTAAAAACAGAGACACAAACCCACCACACTCATCTGTCTGACGTCTTTCTTGAGACGCTAAGAAACATGTTTTTAGCTTTAAAAACGTAACATTTGAGAAGCAGGAAGAAGGTCAGAAGAACCATCTGTTGTGGTTTCACAGACGTTTGTGTCCTGCTGAAGCTGCCGTGTCACCTGCACAGGTGCTTATTTATCCGAAAGCCACGAGTGTGTTTGTTTTTTAAGGAACTTCTTCAACACCGCAGGACTTCCTTAAACCATGAGCTGATGTAGCTGGTTGTGTAACGCCATACTTCACTGTTCCAACATGATGTAACGTGATCTATACTTCTCCACAGCTCAGTGGAGCTCAGACTCAACATAGTAAACAGACAGAAGAAGTGCAGCCATCCATTGACTGGCTCAACGTATTGTTTCAGGCTGAAGTAAAACTTTATTATCATGTGACGGCGACGCAGAAGGCCAGCAGAGTAAATTGGAGAAAAGATGAAACCGTTCAGAGCTTTCAAATCTGTTTTCTCTAATCCTATTGGGAAAAATATTCTGCTTCATTTTGTACCCGTTAAATTAGATTATTGGATCCATCTCACTCTTCTCCCCTTAAATAATGTTATAAAAAATGACTGAAAATGATGGCAGCAAACCGGCAATAACCCTTTTAAAATATGACGAGTATCGCCACATGGAGATCGGTGTTTTCTGGAAAGCTGCTGGGAGCTTTTTGCCCCCACATACGCTGTTTCTTGCGACATTTCCCTGAATCTCTACGGCCGAGGTGAAGAGTGCAAAGTCGGGTGGGAGGTATTCCTTTCATTCAGTTCTCTCCTCTTTCCCCTCCATCTTCCACTGAAAATCTCTCCAGCTCGTGTGATTTCAGAGGCTCTGAGATGTTTGTCTGTTCAGATGTCTAGTTTAGAGACGATTTCATTTAAGCCCGAGCGAGGAGAAGAAAACCGCACATCACACATCAACTGGGTCACTCTGTGTCTCAGAGTCGAATGACCTCTTTTCTGCAAACTTCCTCTGAATGTTCAGACACCTGAGAAGACGCTCACATTCACACCTTCCCCACTGTCATCGACCACAACTGGGGCATCTGTCATCTGAAAACCTCCACAGCCTCTGACAGCACAACCAGCAATCAAACAGCAAAGACATCTGCACCACTTTCAGATCATTTAAATATCTAATGTCGAAGTTTTTTATGGTTCTTCCATCAGACTGAATGAAACTGGCACAAAGTCAAAGTGAGAAACAGTCATTTGTGTGTTGAACTACAACAACTGTGTGGAGGCTGTGAAGTGCGTCACTGGTAAACATCTGAGGGGGGATTCTGACTCTTCTTCCCTCAGCTTCACATTACAAGAATCCATCTTTCTGTAAGCAGCTTATACAAGGTTAGAACAGAGCGGATCATTGTTGGATAAAGTTCTGTGAATATACTGAAAGATCACATCAAGCAAAAGCCGAGATCTGTAAATAAATTCACTACTAACTTCAATTCAGATAACTTTATTTATCCCCTAGGGCCAATTCAAAAGCTCACTGAGTGTTTAATATGAATACATTAAAAAGACAACAATAAACCACATCTTAAATATCACAATATCATCGGTGGTTAGCATCGTTGCCTCGCAGCAAGAAGGTCGCAGGTTCGCGTCCCGGTGAGGACACCTGGGATCTTTCTGCGTGGAGTCTCCATGTTCTCCCCGTGCAGCGTGGGTTCTCTCCGGGTTCTCCGGCTTCCTCCCACACAGTCCAAAAACATGTTGAGGTTAATTGGTGATTCTAAATTGTCTGTAGGTGTGAATGTGAGTGTGCTTGGTTGTCTGTCTCTAAGTGTAGCCCTGTGATAGACTGGTGACCTGTCCAGGGTGTCTCCTGCCTTCACCCTGAGTCAGCTGGGATAGACTCCAGCCCCCCATGACCCTAGTGAGGATTACGTGGTGTATAGATGATGGATAATGGAATGGGCATTAGCAGGGAGTCAGCGGGTCAAAGGTGGTTGTGCATTTAGAAGGAGGACAAACGTTGCTCCTTCTTTGAGTCCAGCATCCTGGGCAGCGAAGGCGACGTCCAGAGTCGCCTCAAATGCAGGGAGCAGCGGTTTGATGAGTTTGATCTTGCTGGAGAAGGCTCTGACAGGGAGCCCGATCATTTTGGAGCAGATCTTGACAACACTCAGTGTATATAACTGTAAGTTATTATTCCGTATTAAACCTGTTAATTATATCGGTGTAGCCGTACGATCTCACAGACAAACAGCAAGTTTGTATTTAGATCAACTGTAATAACTTCACCATGAAAACGTGGAGGATCAGAACATTTACTGACAGACGGACTCTGCTGACACATTTTGAACAAGATTGGAAAGACAGTTTGTTAACATTCATTTTAATGATTTCTTTATTTTTCTTACGTGAACTTGTACATCGACGGGCTGCATTGTAGATTGTAGAGCGATTCTATGAAATAACACAACTATGTTCTTTAAAGGATCGCTGCAGTCACGCTGTGGATTTAAAGGTGTTTATGCAGTATTTCCTTGATTATATTGCAAGTAAAATATGTTTTGTTTTTAACCCTACTCAGGACTTTTGGGGTCTTTTGGACCCCAGGCCATTTGGTTTAGGTGACAGGTGTTGTTTTTTTTACTTTTAGAGTTTTTTTTTTTTTTTAAATCTAAAAAGAGGGACATTTGTCGAGCATTTGGAACAAAAACACATCAACTTATCAGAACATTTATTCAACGCAGTATAAAAGCCTATCATGAACATCAACAGATATTTTGCACATGTTCTTTCTTGGGGTCCAGTGGACCCCCAAAGACTTACATATGGAAACATGAAAGTCCTGAGTCGGGTTAATGTGACTATTTAAAGGTGACGACCTGAATTCGACCAGAAAAATCTGTCATTTTATTATGTTCTAGTCTGACATCATGGTAACCTTTGGGGGTACTTTTACAGCTGGATATTTTTCTTTTTTTAACAATGCAGTTTGAGTTTCACATTTGTTTTTGGTTTTTTTTCTAACCTAATTTGAAATCACCTTTTTCTTGCAGCATCTGGTTCCACTGATTAAATGTTCAAAAACACGATAAAAACAGTTTGACATGCAGCTGCTTCTGCTGACGCCACACTGATGCTGCACAAGTATTCAGATGAAGTCAAAGTGTCGGTAATGGTGTTAAACTACGTAAAGTACCGTGCACATCATATTCCGTAACCTCTTCCTGCGGCATCAGTTCGATCACACGTTGGCAAATGTTGGGGTGTCACACCAAAACCAGAAGCCACAACCATGATTAACATCTGTCGTAGCAGGTGAACTCTATGTCAACATGACAGTTAAGAACTCATATAATGTTGGTCTGTTTTTACATTATATGTGAATGAAATGATGTGCACAGACTAGTACAGGTGCAGTTAACATTTTATTTTCGATGGAAACAAACCAGACGCCGCTGCACCTGAGGGGCAAAAGTTCAAACACAGGCAACACATGCATGGTTTCTGTTTATTTATGATTTTAATGCTGAGAATTCTGTCCATTTGTGATGATAATTTATAGCCAGTGATGTTGCACTAATGTGTTGTGTGGGCTGCCTGTTGCCATGTCTATGTAGTGACTTCAGGAGACGTCTGTGTCCGTCAGTACACACAGTGCTGCCAATCTCCTGAAAAACAAACTGATTTAACAGAAAGAAAAAAACAAACATGTGACTTTAGTTAATGGATTATAATGGTTCAGTAAAATAATAATCGTGATTCAACTGTGTGAGCGATGGTTTAACTGCAGCTGATAAACTTTGACTCACATAATGTCATTTACTGTTAGATCCAGTCTCCAATCATTAATCATGTAATTTTAAGTAATTATTGAGGAATACACTTCATAATTTCTTAATTTGTTTCACACATTATTTTGTTCATATATTTAAAAATTTGTATTCATGTACTAACTTATTTCATATTGAACACTCCAGAGCTCCATGTCCATCTATCTTTAGAGCAGGAATCTCTTTAGAAATATTACTGTAAAGTCTAATTTTATACGACTTTTACACTCAACTGTCATGTTGAAGGGCTGCAAGGTGGCTCGGTGGTTAGCACCGTCGCCTTGCAGCAACCCGGGATCTTTCTACGTGGAGTCTCCATGTTCTCCCCGTGCAGCGTGGGTTCTCTCCGGGTTCTCCAGCTTCCTCCCACAGTCCAGAAACATGTTGAGGTTAATTGGTGATTCTAAATTGTCTGTAGGTGTGAATGTGAGTGTGCTTGGTTGTCTGTCTCTAAGTGTAGCCCTGTGATAGACTGGTGACCTGTCCAGGGTGTCTCCTGCCTTCACCCTGAGTCAGCTGGGATAGACTCCAGCCCCCCATGACCCTGGTGAGGATTAAGGTGTAGAGATGATGGATGGATGTCATGTTGAACGAACACTGCTATAAACAACACTCCTGCTCAGGTAGTGTGAAGCAGATTTCTATTAACTACTCCACACTTCATATACAAACGTTCTCTATGCTGATGACAGACATTTGAAATGATGAACTCGTGAGGGTTTCATGTGTATTTTTGCAGAATCAAAACATTCATCCTAAATTAATCAAGTTGATCTCTATGATTGATGGTGTTGTGGGTTCTTAGCCAGAATGGTTATATTAGTTCTGTAATTAATCATACTTATAATAGGGTCTTATTCCGCTGGCCATGTTGTTCTCCATGACTGATGGAGCTGTGTGGCCTGCTGTGAATGTGACTGTGGGCTCTTGATCCCAATATTGTCACTTTTGGGGTTACTTTTATGGCACGAATCATATTTTTTAGTTGTTTATTTTTGCTGGGATGTGCCATGCCCTCCACCTCTGGCTCCATCTACTGGAGCTCTCTTCCCCCTTGTCCCTCCAGGTGGAGGCGGGCGGGGCGACTGTGCGAGTGGGCAGGTGCAGGTGTTTCCAGCTGTGGCGGGGTGTGGTCCAGTCACTGTTAGTGTTACCTGGCTCCACTTCCCGACGCCAGACCGTAAACTTACCTCCGACCCTCCTTTGGTTTTCCTGATCCACCACTTCATCCTCCGGTCACCGCTCCACTGCCTCCACCGGCTCCACCGGCTCCACCGGCTCCACCGCTCCCTCACCCACCGCCGTCCTGCCGCCGCACCTGCCCGGTTCGTCTTCCTCATTCTCTCCGGACACACCACGTCGCCTCGCCTGTCGACAGCCTTCCCCTCCACCGTAATCCCTCTGTCTGTAAGCCCTAGTGTCTTGCTCAGCTCATTTAACCTTCTAGTTTGTTATTTACTTTTTAATTCTGACCGACTAGTCTCTGTTTAGTTTCAGTTTCACTCTCCGTAGTGCGTCCACCCCTCCTTAACGCATAAGAACCCAATTTTCTTTAAGGGAACATTATGCTGGATATAAAACAGACTAGATGGACTACATAGAACACATGTCTGATGTTGTTTTGGAAAAAAAATTAACACCCCTCGTCTCCAAGATCTGTAATGTTACACTGGGCGTTTAAAGGAAATGTATTATAGATCATATATGTTAATTGAAAATAAATCCACTTGACAGTTTCTTCTTTAGAAACACAGAGTTGCCTTTTTATTTTGCATTTCCACAATATCAATCCATGTTAAAGCTGCAAACAGCAATGGACGGGTCCTCGCCGTACGATTGTCGGCCGTTGTTCACGTCAGGATGTGGTGCAGACGCACTCCAGGTGGGACTCCAATCTGGTGTGTCAAGTTTGAGGCAGATCAGAGCACGTGTGGCCTAGTTATACGCCACTTCCTGTTTAATGGCGAGCCGAGGTGGCGGGCCGTGGTGGCAACCCGCTCTGGCTGGGCCTTGGACCACCTGAGTAAAGTTTCGGGCAGATCAGAGCACCTACAGGCCAGTTACACAGCACGTCCCTCTTTATGGCGGAGTCCCTAGTTCCAGGAGTCGCCATTTTGACGCTGTCAGACTTTTGCGGAGCGTTTTAATAACTGTTAATCACCACCTCCTGTAGTTTGTGATGGCCAAATTGCAGGTGTGTACGACCTTCCCCCTGGGAGGAGCTAGAATTCGAAAAGACCTTAAATGAGCGAAAAATCTGCAAAATTCTCGCCAACTTACTTCAAAATTGCGCACTTCCTGTTGGGTTTAGGGCTTGGCACTGGTTGACTTTTTTGTGCATCCCGTCCTGCTACATATGCCTACCGAACTACGCAGGTCTAGGCCAAACATGCTTTTTCTAGGGGGCGCTGTGGAGCCATTTTGCCATTGACATGCTCCCAGCTGACTCAGGGTGAAGGCAGGGGACACCCTGGACAGGTCACCAGTCTATCACAGGGCTACACTTAGAGACAGACAACCAAGCACACTCACATTCACACCTACGGACAATTTAGAATCACCAATTAACCTCAACATGTTTCTGGACTGTGGGAGGAAGCCAGAGAACCCAGAGAGAACCCACGCTGCACGGGGAGAACATGGAGACTCCACACAGAAAGATCCCGGGTGTCCTCACCGGGACACGACCACCATGCAGCCCTGAAGCAAAGCTGCACATTGCATTTGTCAGAGGGTGATGGTTGCATTGACTGAATTTGCAGCGGCAAATTTGGACACAAAGTAGTTTACCGTCATGGCGGTAGTTTAGCCATGCACTGACAAGGCCTAACATGATGGTTTGCGAGAACAGGTAGAAGCACCCCCTCCGTGACCCTATGTGGGACTTGTACTTTGCGACGCATGCATCATCTCCCCATAAATGTGTTGTACTCCTTCACAATGTGTGGCCTGTTGACGTCCACATGTCTTGTCTGATTGGCTCCAGCATCGGCTAAGACGGCAATCTTTAGTTAAGTATTTTGCTACTTCCTGTTCTGTTTTTTTTTCACCTTTGCGTGTCAAAATAAAATATTATTGTTTGTATAAACGCTGGTCTACTGAGTTTTGTGTCTGCGCGTGAGCCTCTGAACCTGATCCGTAGCAGGATGCACAGGAGCTGTTGTCCTAAATGTGCTCTGCAGAGAACATTGACTTGACTTACCCATTTCATCTTGCCTATATTGCATTGGTGGGATTTTGTCTATATGCTTCAATTCATTTTTATTATTTGTGTAATACTTTACTTGTGTAATACACTAATTTGACCTTTTGTTTTTAAGTGCTCTGTAGCTTTCTTTTCAAAAAGTGCTATAGAAATAATGTGATTTTGTTTTACTGAACAGCAACAACGTTCATATCAATCTACTGAGAAGCCTTTGCTGCTGTTTGATGTTCTCTCTTTGCTCTTTGTTTGCAGTAAAAGCTGAAGATGAACTTCTCTGTGGAGGAGCTGATGAACGAGTCAGTCCCGACAGAAATGACAACTTTCGACCCGAACTTCCCATATGAGGTGATTGAACCGTGCACGTTTGACAACCACCACAGTGTGCAGATAGTGGTCCACTCCATCATATGCATCCTGGGCTTCGTGGGGAACAGCCTGGTGATCGTCACCTATGCCTTCTACAAGAGAACCAAGTCCATGACGGACGTCTACCTGCTCAACGTGGCCGTCGCCGACCTTCTGTTCGTGCTGGCGCTGCCTCTGATCGTCTACAACGAGCTGTCATCGTGGTCGATGGGGCGGGTGGCCTGCAAGCTGCTTCGCGGCTCCTACAGCGTCAACCTGTACAGCGGCATGCTGCTGCTCGCCTGCATCAGCACCGACCGCTACATCGCCATCGTCCAGGCTCGCCGCAGCTTCAGGCTGCGCTCACTCTCGTACAGCCGCGTCATCTGTGTCATCGTCTGGGTCTTCGCCATACTGGTTTCCATTCCCACCTTTTGCTTCTATGAGTGGTACGAGCCGTCCCACAGCAATGAGTACTACATGTTTGGTGACGAGGACATTGACATGGATGAGCCTTCCCAGTACGTCTGCGAGTTCAAGTTTCCAAGCAGTGAAATGGCCCAGAAAGGCAAAGTGGCCGTCCCCAGCACCCAGCTGGCCGTGGGCTTCTTCCTGCCGCTGTTGGTCATGATCTTCTGCTACACTGCCATCATCGTCACCCTGCTGAAAGCCAAAAACTTCCAGCGACACAAAGCGGTGCGGGTGGTGCTGGCGGTGGTGGTGGTGTTCATCGCCTGCCACCTTCCCTACAACCTGGTGCTGCTGTACGACACTGTCACCATGTTCGAGCATTTCGAATGTGAAGACTTGAAGATGGTGCAGACTGTCATGATGGTGATGCAGTCCATCGCCTACCTGCACTGCTGCCTGAACCCGGTGCTGTATGCCTTCGTTGGGGTAAAGTTCAGGAACCACTTCAGGAGGATCTGCCAGGACCTGTGGTGTCTGGGTAAGAGGTACATCGCCCCACGGCGCTTCTCCAGGGTCACCTCAGAATTCTACGTGTCCACCATCCGTCGCTCGGTGGACGTGTCCAGTGAGAACGGCTCTTCCTTCACCATGTGAGGACGCCCGGCAGACTGATCTCTGGAGCTGATCTTTTGAGACCTGCGGGTCTCTGAACTTGACTCATGTCTTTAACTCATGTTTGTGATTATGTGGTTCTCAATTGAGGGGGTCACAAAATATATCTCAGGGGTGGTTAGATGGTTCAGACGATACGAAACAGGATGACTTTTGGTATTAAAGAATGACCTGAACATTACTGTCTGGCTTTGAGACAGTTTCATCATGACTCAAAACTTTCTCAAGAAAGTTCTAAAGCACCAGTGCGTGAGAAATTCAAAATAAGATGAAATCCAGAAGCTCCCTTGCATACAGACAATCGAGATATTCAGAAGTTTTATTGTGTCTTTCTTTCCAGTGTTTTCTGTCTGATTCATGCGACCTGAGGATGTTAGAAATCCTGAACGTGGAGCTGCTTTTCTCTCTGATCTGCCTCGACGCTCCAGCAGCTTTTCTCTGTTTAAACTTAATCTGCTCAGAGATGATTTTCAGGATTAAAAACTGGAACTTTTGCCTGCTCGGAGGTTTTTCACATCAGTCTGTTAAGACCTGAAGGAATCTGAACTTGAGTCAGTGGATGGGCTTTAGATTTAATTTACTGTTTGAACTCTCTGTGCCCTCGACTGACGGCTCAAAAAAAAAAAAAAAACGTATTTTCCTCATCTCTCACTTCTATGTTGGTGACTCCTCTGCTCTTTGTTATTTCTTGTTCATGTTCCTGTGATATTGTGTTTAAATGAGTTTATTTTTACAACATTAAATAAGTGATATTTTACATTTTCAGATATATATCTTAGTGGTTTTGATATGTCAGAATAAACATGGTTTGTGTTTGATTAAAGAGGTTTTTGTTTCTTTGTGAAAACTTCACCATCGCTGTAATTCTGTGGCTCAACACCAGATGGCACTATTTACAAAGACGGCTGATTCAATGGAGAAGTCTCGCTCTTTTAGAAAACGTGTATCCAGCAGCGAACAGAAACTCTCAAAGGTAGGAGTTGATCTTGTCATGTCACGTCGTTACTCTCGTCTGAGTATCTTTATCTGACTGTCGATCTCTTGCACTCTGCTTGCTGACAGTGTGAGCTGGAAGTTTGGACTTTCTGTTGGTTCCCTGAGCAGCATCAGATTCCTGGAGCTGCAGCGTCATGAAGCCACAGAGGACGACACACCAGTGACTCTATGACAGGTTAGACGTGCTGCTGTTTCTGTGAAAGTCATTTAGCCAAAGAGGAAGTATTCAGACGGTACAGCAGGAAACATCAACAGTGGGATGCAAAAATACAAGCTGAAGTACTGAATGGTTTTGGGAGCTTCATTCATTCTTCAGAAACCTCTTTTTAATGCTTCATAATTAACCCTCGACTCATGCGAGGTTACAGTAGATGGTTTGTGGGACTGTCTATTTGTTTGTTACCAAATAACTTTTAAGGCCTGAAACTGTAAGAGGAGACAGTAGAGCCCATAACTTAGTCTGTGACTGGTGGATTTTGCTAAAATTGCTTTGCTATGGAGTGATTTGTTCTTTAAAACGACCGTACCAAGCTTCTGCTGCTCTGTCAGACATATCGTTGCCATGGTAATGGTGGTGAGCATAGATGCAGCGCCCCCTTCAGGAGACAACGAAAGTGAATGTTTTGAGTGTCTTGTCTATTCCAGACGTTCATTCCGCAAAACTTGCAGCCGAGAGACTTTGCTGGCCGTCAGGACAGTGAACGGTGCTGGAATTGTGATGTGGACATACTACACCAACACGGAGTCCAATCGGACACGACGCCGGCAGTTACCCGAGAGAGAAGGAAGCACAAACGGCATGAACGTAAACAAAGGAGGAGGAAGAGAGCCAGGATCCATGCTAGGCTAAAGGCTAACCCCTCCAGACCAGCAGGACCGTCCTCCTGCTCTCCAATGTCCGCTCCCTCCACAACAAGCTGGACGAGCTCCGTTTGCTGAGAGAAACCCTCAGAGAGTGGAGGGACTGCTGTGTGTCTGCTTTAACAGGAACATGGCTCCATGACAACATCCCAGACGGACATACAGCTGGAGGAGATGCAGACATACAGACAGCTAGCTCTGGACAGCATCTGCAGCTTCACCATCATCACACCATCGTGTGTGTCTTTGTGTCCCTGAAGACCTACCAGGACCTGAAGAGGTTCACCATGTTCAACGTGATGATGGTGCACATGGATGCAGCGCCCCCTTGAGGAGACAGCGAGAGTGAACGTTTAGTGTCTTATCCCAGACGTTCATTCTGCAAAACTTGCTGATTGAATAATCGTGAAGAAACACTCTCTCATCTTGCCTGTACTACTGTTTATGTGCAGCAAACCTGATTGGATTTTGATCAAATCATTTAATTTCCATTTTAAAAACAAAAACAATAACAGTTTCCATTTTTGAGTCATTTTAAAAATTTTTCTGTTGCAACCTATTAAATATAAATATTTGCTCATTTTCAGTTTAATTACATACAAATAACTAACAGAACAGTTACGACTGTTGACTGAATACACCGAGGAACCACCTGGACCACAATTAATGACAAAGTCTAACAGTTATTTTTTGTTTTCTATGTTCAAAAAAATAGAACCTCAGACTGGTTTTCTGTATTAATCGCTTAAGAAAAAAAATGAAGCAATCAGATCAAACACAACTTTGCAGCAAACGAACACAAAGTAAAGCAGAAGGCCTCGATGCTAGATTAGCCTGCATCAAAACGAGCATCCAAGATGGAGGATGGAGGAGTTAGTGATGAAAATGTCGGACGAATCTACAAATAAACCAGACTATAGAAGGTAAATCAGAGGAAATCAATCATTTAAAACAACAATATAATTAATAAGAGAAAGCTATAAACTTTATAGACAAACTGTACAGAGGGAGAGTTTTAAGTGTGTGAAACATTGTCTCGTGCATTCAGCTGTGGCTCCACGTATGAAGCAGCGTCAGAAGAAAAGCAGTTAAATGTCAGTTTGTGCTGCTCAGGGTTTGGTAACGGCATCCTGCCGCCGTTTGTTGCTGCAACTCAGAGGAAGGAAGCAGCACAGACGTTTTTTTTCCGATTTAAACACACTGCAGGCAGAAAAATGAGAGCAGCGGATAAAAATCTCAATAAAGTCTCGACACGAACACCTGATGTAGGAGCTGCTGAGCTGAATTCATTTACAGTGTGAAGAGAAACACACACGATGCAGCGAACATGTGTGTTAATCTGGTGTCACTTTGTCTCTTTGTAATTGTTTCACGTCTTTTTGTGGTTGTTTTTTTTTTGTCTCGTGTTTGTCTAAATCTCTTTGGGGTCATTTTGCCTTTCTGTGGTTGTTTTGAAGCAGTTTTTGTGTCTCTTTGTGTTTGTTTTGTCTCTTCATGGTCATTTTGTTTAAGTTTTTTGTCTGTTTTGTAATTCTGTATTTGTCTTATGTCTTGTTGTGGTTGTTTTGTGTCTCTTTGCTGCCATTAGGTCACTTCACATATGTTTAATGTCTCTTTTGGTTGTTTTGTGTCTTTTTTGTGTTTGTTCTGTGTCTCGCTGTGTTTGTTTTATGTCTCTTTGTGGTCATTTGGTCGCTTTGTAATTGTTTTTTTTTGTCTTTTTGTGTTTGTTTTATGTCTCTTTGGGATCATTTTGCCTTTATGTGGTTGTTCTGAAACCATTTTTGTGTCTCTTTGTGGTTGCTTTGTCTGTTTGTGTTTGTTTTGTCTCTTCACGGCCATTTTGTTTAAGTTTTTTGTCTTTTCTGTATTTGTTGTGTCTTTTTTATGTTTGTTCTGTATCTCTTTGTGTTTGTTTTGTGTCTCTTTGTGGTCATTTGGTCTCTTTGTATTTGTTTCATGTCTCCTTTAGTTGTTTTGAGTCTTTTTGTAGTTGTTTTGTGTCTCTTTGTTTCATTGTGTGTCTTTGCAGTCATTTGTTGTGGACCACAGCCTCCAGTCGGAGCTCATGACTGCGTCGCATTACATCAGCTGCGGTGAAGCTAAAGAAGAAGTGATTGATACTGCAGCACTGTAAACTCTGCAGCTTTTTACTCGGAGTGATTAAAATGTGTGTGAGCCTCCCGACACATCAGTAATCCAGTCACACATGGAGCCCACCCTGCAGGCGGACCCCCCAGCCCCAGCACTGTAGGACATTAGAGCAGAGTGCTGGCTCCCAAATGAAATGAATCTGTGTTGAAAATGAAACCGTGGCGTCGTACAGAGTCTACGGTTCAATCACATAAAGACTCACAACACTGCAGCTCTGTTGCAGCCTCACACAGACGCTGCTTACAGTCCGAGCAACACTCCTTTCTTCTTACAGTACAAACCCACTGACTGTATCTCAGCGCTGGGATTCCTCCTCTGAGCCACACTGTCGCATGAATGCTCTGTTTCCTGCTTTTTATTTGCTAGAAGTTGCTACGAGCAGCTGATTGTTGGAAAACGGTCAGACTTTAAAAAGACAAAATGAACACTGTGTACGTCTGTGAGGTGGTTTTATGATCTCAGAGCTGAGAGACACAGCAGCGAGGACAGAGTGTTGAGTTGTGTTGTTGTTGTTGGTCTGCTTCTACACAGAGAACATATCAAACACCACTAAAGGTCTGCTGAACTACTCCAGATCCACTGCAAACTCTGCTTCATGTGCACACATGATGTCGAGTTGTGAACAACAGTTAACACACACTTATAAAGAGTGTGTGTCACGGCAGAGTTTATAACGACTCCTTTAACTCTTCACTTTCTGTAATGAATCACTGAAACACACGAATCTTTGTCA